CCCACAAAATTGACATTTATTTCAATTTTATTTCCCACGTCACCTGAATGTTATAGAGGAGCAGACTGCAGGAAGGAAATATATTTAAAAAAGTATTGCACGCACGCAATTTGGCTTTATCCCTGAAGGAAATTCTGAGGAAATAAATTGAAAATGAATGACTCTGGGTTTGACCATTGCTTTTTGATAGCCACAGCAGAGTGCAAAAACAAAAAAAGTTCTGCGGAAACCCACTAATTAAAATCAACTCAGCCACGTAATATCACAAATAGAAAATAAACACAAGAAACGTATACAAAAGACATTGAAATTATTGTCATGACATCTTTCTTTCACCATAGATTCACTTTTTAATTTGTTACAGTTTCAACCTGAAACAATTTTGGTGGAGAGATTGATCTTTATCCTCAGTAACTGCTGTCTCTGAAATACTCTTTCCATCACTTACCGATCAGATGGTTTTTTTTTCTCCCGCTGCGATAGTTCAGATAAAATTAATGTGATATTCTTCCAAGTTTCATTTGTATCCCTGAAATGATTCCGCTCAATATCTATGAGCGATGTATGGCTTAACGATATCCACATTTACATAATATTAGGTCCTCTATACAGCTTATCCTTCAGAAACTTTCATTAAGCAGCCTTTAACAAAGAATTTACTGTTGCTTACTTTTTTAGGCATTTTTTCCAAACTTTTTTTTCACTCTTGCATCCTCATACAATGAATCTTTCTGCTTCTCTTTGGGACGCAATTTATTTCCTCATTATAAACCGCTCCTCAGAAAATTTGTCACTTTCCCGATAAATGCAGATGCCGGAAAAGCAAACAAGTACCTCTTATCAAGCCTGTAACTAAATATGAGTTCCAACTCCAATTTTATCCATGCTCCGAAGTGTCGTGCGTTAAGAGCGCAAGAAATGCGAACATGACTTAGAATTGACTCTTATTGCAAAACAGAAAGCAGATAAAGTTACTTGAGCGGCACATCCAGGTTGTCAGTGGTCTTTGAGACAGTCATTCATTATTGATTTAAGCCATTTGAAATTTTGGCTGTTTTCATATGGAGTTTGGCAAGGTTTCGTTTGTTTGATATGGTTATTTCTTATGATATTTACACTTATACGTCTTGCATGACAGCTTTGAACCTCCGCACAAATTACGGAATACAAACTTAATAATTTTCGCGCAAAAATGAACCAACGAGTCGATCTTTGTGTTGGGCAAAAATGATTCCATCCAATAGACAAGAGAATATGGATATCCTCTTGAATAGATGATTATAAAGACTTGGATTATCGGATTATCTAAAACCACATATTCTGATTAAAAATTCATTCGACTTAGGGAAAATTTAGTATTTGAACGCATATGATTGATGGAAAGATTGTTTTGGAACATTTAATTAAAGAAGTGAATTGATCGGGCAGGTACCCCGAATCTGCACATTTGTAATTTGTTAACGGTTCACAGAAAGAGTAGAAGCCGTTTTTGGACTGCCTCTTAAAGGGTCACAAAGGCCGGGAATTCAAAATAGATTGGAGAGGACTGGTGAAAGTATGAGTGAAACTTAAAGCTTAATTTTCACAAATCATTTTTCCCTAGTAAAGAGAAACAGTAGTCATACAAATCACAACTGAGGGTCTCTCAAAGGCTGTCATTTAACTTAACAAAGGTATCGAAGTTACTAGAAGCTAGGAAGCTGATTGCCTGACTGTCTCGATATTAAAGTTGAAGTAATTTTGCAAGAAACACCCCATGAAAAAGCTCATCGATAACTTAATACGCATCTTCTTTAAGGACGATTGTCAGACTTCTCAGGAATTTTCATGAAGTTTAAGTAGGTACATATGCGACACTCGGGGCCTTTATCCGAAATTTTCAAATAAACGAATATGCGATATTCCCTGTGGATCAATCACAGAAGAACATAAAGTAGAAGACGAAAAAGCACACCGGGTCCTGAGATTTTTTCAGGGTGAGTAAATGAAAACTGAAATGCAAAGTTCAGATGGGCTGTATCTACAATAGGAAAGGAGCTCTTTAAAGGGAACAGGTGAAAAGTGCAATAGCTAAGAAGTAACAGCAAACAATGCAGAAAACCACGAAGACGTTACCCCTTGAGCAGGGTGTCACCCACTCGCTCAAAGCATCCAACACCCGGCGAAGACCTTCAACCAAATAACGTTTAGGGCAAAGAGAATAACTAAGCCTGAATGTGATACTTTGATAAAAGGATAGTGCTCCAGAAAGAAAGCTGTGCTCATGATGGATCCCATGATATTTCACAGGGGAAATGACTGCTTGATGGAGCGCCTTGTTGACTTTTGCGTCCGTCGGTTTTTTTTTATACAAAGTCAGCTGCAACAATTATAAAACTTTTATAAGTATAAACGTACTTAAAGATTATTGATGGTGGAAGTAAGAGAGAGGTCATTATGCAGGCCACACGGAATTAAATCAAATTCAAGCATATTGTGGCTCAAAAACCCTCTGCGTTCTTGATTGAGGGCATCATTCAAGGAGGAAAAATTGAGTCATAACTTACTCCTAATACCAACTAAAAGTACGACCTATTTTTGTTACGCAGTCTCTCTAGCACAGAGCTATATAAGACTGATGGTAAATGAACTTTAAAACCAGGCTCATGTGACAAACGTTTTATATTGTGCGAGCCGGAGCTCTTGCACAATGATAGTAATGAAATTGAGATGGCAAACTTTATGTCTGGTGATTATTATGGAAATTCCCTTTGCCTACGTCCCTCGACTGATCCTTTCAAGATCAAAGTGTTGTAGATTTTGTTCAGGCAATTACACTCTCAATGGATGCGTCACCTAAAACCCATATATCAAATTACTTTAGCCTTTTCCGCGACGGTGACTTTTTGTGGTTAGACGATGAGTCTTAGAGCTCACCGCTTTCCTTATCTTATCAATATCCCAGATCAAACGCACAGTCGCGGCTATAGAAAGATCTTGGCCACATAACGTTTATTTTGAGAGAGTCTTCCGTTTTTAGACATAACAAGCAAACAAATGGATGCATCTGCTTCTCTTGTTTCAAGGAAGATTTGATTCACCAATGATCCTGATAACCAAAAGAAGAATTCGATTGACAACGGGACTAAACAAATCGCTCCGACTGCAACTATCGAAACATACTCAATTTTCATTATTTTGCCTTTTAATTTTGAATGGACTTTTAAAACAAATGAAGAATCGAGAATGAGAAAAGAAGCATCTGGTAATGACTGAGGTTTGGAGAGTACTATTTCGTATACGCTTCCAGCCCTCCCTGCTGAAACTGGATACTAGTAACGTCCTTTGGTAAATGTTTGCCACGCATACAGGTGTAATGTTCCGCGATAGAAATCATATTGATGTCCCCGGGTTTTTCTTTCCGAAAAAAAATAAAAAATAAAAAAAAGAGCTTTGTACAGCTGGGCATAGGTGAAACTAGCACAGACTCTTAGGCTTTTTTATCCATTAAATTTAGAATTAAGGAAACCAATTGGTCTTCGGTATTCTGAAAACTCTATCAACTTCCACTTGCTGCTGAATCCATGACTTCTTATGCGTCGCGCAGAAAGAAATCAGCAAAAGTTAACGTTGTGCTAAGACTCACACGTTTTCTTAGATTTAGTCCGGACTTTCCAAGTTCGTCATTTGGGAAATTATGTTTTCCCTTTGTTTGCGGTTCCCTTTGATTTAAAAGCACTCTAGTGCATAAAAAAAAAAAGGTTCAGATATCATGTCATGGCTCTTTTAATGCGCTCTATATTCCAGAGATGATAAGCTATGACTTTAAAAAAGTAAATATGGATTTCATTCATCTTTCTCACGCAAAAATTCTAAACAATTATGCTACCTGCGACGATAATTTATCATAGTCTTATCTGCAGAAAAAAGACACTTAGATATTTCACTCAATCTACCTCCACTAGCACATTTTTCTTGTTTTAACAATAAATTTATAAAAGTAGAAAAAATAGAAATTGCGCACAGGAAGTCACTCTCAAGATAAATACCAGAAAAGTGTCTGGACCGAATTTATTTTATCACTGCTTTTTATTCGGCCCACGCCTTCCGCTTTTAGAGGAAATGTCGAAAATTTAATGGCTGAGTAATGCGATGAACTCTACCATGGTAAACTATAATTTGACTAATGTAATCTATATTTATGGGACCTTCCAGGCTAATCTGTCAAGCATTAAGACAGGCAGTTCCACCTTTATTGAACTCAGACCTTTTTTTTTAAGCATTGACCCTCCCCACTGGGACTAACAGCATTGCCAGTTCTTTCGTCAATTTTAATCAAAAAGGAAACGCGAAACATAGCAATCACTTACAATAGAACAAGAGTGCTGAAGTCTCAACAAATTTAGATATGAGTGTCTAATCCTAAAACTTGAGATTGCATCATCTGGAAACTTCTTGGACGAAAATATATATACTTTTTTTAAAATATCAGCATTATTTTTTTCTTTTATCAGAGTGAGAATCGAAAGCCTTTAAGACGAATAGAGGGAAAAGTACCTCTTCTTAGCCGCGCAGAGTTTGTTACTTTTTACTCACAAATGCACTCTTTGTCTCTAACTAAAATATTAAATGCTATTGACGAGCGCGAGGCAAAGAAGGCTGAATATTATTTCTATTAGCGTTCAAATCATATCGACAAAAAAAGACGAGGCCGCCAACAGGCTTGGTCAGAGGATTTCTTGCATGGCTAATAAAATGAGCTCAAAAGTATAAACAGAAATGAATAGAATTTGCTTACGGAGTGAATTTGTGTTTACACTTTATAAGTAACTGTTCATCATAAATTTAAATATAAAAAGAAAGCGGCTAAACCGATGCAATATCTATTATTTAAAAAACAAAACAAAACAAAACAAAACAAAACAGACAAAAACAAAATCAAGAGAACATGAAAAAACCATATTCTCTTCATAGAATACACTTGTCCCGTACGCTGCTGTTATGATTGCTCCGTGATTCTACTAAGAGATCACCACTCCCTGTCTTGTTTCATCACTCTTTGAAGTAGCATTTACTTTCAACGCCGTAACAACAAGCCAATCTCAATTTATAACTACAGATCATAAGCCAACAAATAAAAAGATTAATTAGCAAAAAGGAACAAACAAATATCAATGATAATTTTTTGCAACGGTTTTAGCATAGTCTAAACTCTAAACAGCTTTTATAAGCCGGTGCCTTGATTCAACATAAAATGGATCCTTCAGTGTTGTCGGTGCAGAACTTTTTCGTGCCGTGTAATTTAAAACTCGTTTTCTATGTTTTTGTTTAAGTAAATGTAACTTAACTGCTGCTCTGGTGGACAAACATACGCTAATCAAATCAAGAGAGAGGTTATTTCTAAAACATTAAGACCAAGAATAGCAGTGATATCAAACTTTTGATACAAACGATCGAAGTATTTGGAACAGGCGAAGAAATTTCTTCAATTCGGAAATTTTCGTTTTCCATGCAAGTTTTATTCAAGAAAATAATTTTCTCTTTCACTTTTACTTCACCAATCATTTCCCACGTATATTGCTTTTAAAGACTGAAATAATAAAACGGTCAGAAGGCTGAGTAAGGCAATTGATACTGGATGGATTGAAAACACGTGTCGCGCATTACACTCTTGGCCATCTTCAGACGAACTGCAAGCAACAAAAAAAGTCCCGCTGATAACTCTATTAGTTGTGGCCGGAAAATCTGGATGTGCGCGTAGTCTTGAAAGCTGATTCATACCTTGATTTAAGTAATAAAAGAATGTTTGTTGTGGGAGACTAACTTACAACGCAATTAATCACCAATAAATTTTAAGAATACCTGTGAAATATCAGCGTTTGATCAGTTCCAAGTCGATGACATCCTATCCATATAAATGTTAGGTAGTGAAGATTTTGGCCTTAAGTAAATACCTCTCTTCTGGAAAGAGCTTTTGCACAATGACGAAAGTGGCTCCTCGCATTAGGCAGCGTAAGGGCGTTGTAGGCGTTGTAGGCGTTGTGGTGAAAAAAGGAATATATCATTGGATCTTAAAATACCATAGTGATCTAAAAATAATATGATGGGGAATACACCTCGAATGAGGTCTCCGACACATTCTCTTCAATTTGTATTTGACGTCTGACTTAGACGTTTCACCAAGTTGATATGCTTTAATTTCAATCATTTTGGTTTGCGGCTCTGATGCCTGGAAGAATGGCAATGAAATTGGCGAAGTAAATGAGAAATATTATTCACTTTTGCCTAGCTGGCATTTCCTTCCTTCCTGTGAATCTTAGGGCTGTTTTTCTTTTTTTTTCATGTTTTTGTTCAATAAATTAACGACGATTTAAAGTCGCTATATAAAGGCTTCTGTGAGACAATTCCAAAACTGCCGCTCACTAGTATCACCATTTTCGTTTGGATCCTAACATCACTCAATAAACACTGCCTTTCTCACTATAGTCAAGATTAAGGTAGGTTATGTGATTACAAAAAGTTACTATTAGCATGAAACAGCTTGCCGTACCTTTCTTCCTATTTTTCCGCCTTGTTTCAACTTATTATTCAACTGGAAACAATGGAACTTAGTAATATAACAAGAGGCAGGTAAGCAATTGCTTCCTGAAAGGAAAAGCAGCTATGGTTTTTAAGTTTGTAACAATCAAGAAATCAAATTACCAAGTTGAACAGACTCCGTGGCAGCTGTTAACATAAAAATGGAGAAGGTAACTACAGCTAGTAAAAATTGAATGACTGACTAACTGTACTGATACACAGGTTAAATGACTAACAGAAAGGTTGACTGGCTAACTGACACCCAGGTTGACTGACTGAGAGACAGTTGGCTGACTAACTGACAGAAAGGTTGATTGACCAACTGACTGACTCACTGAATAAACGATGGACAGACAGACTGAATGACTGAGTAACTGACGGATTGACTAACTGTTATTGTAGGTGTTATCATTCCTTTTCAAATTTCAGTGTATCGGTAAGAAATAGTGGTAAATAGGAATAAGAAACATCCTGTACACACGCGAAAATGATTGTGAACTGTCGAGAATAAGGGAAATTTTAATTTTGAAATGATATCTACACAGCCTTCGAAAGTGTAAGGTGACATGAGAGAAGAGTTCATGAGTCCGAAGAAAAAAAATTATTTACTAAAGGAAAACGAAAATGACCAAAGCCAGAATGAATACATCCAAAGTAAAGCGATCGGTTTCCTCTTTTGAACGAAATTGACTCCTCGCTAAAATAATATACCCACAATTAAGATGATGCGACGATTGAAAGATTATTTATCAAAATACTAGGATTCCTTAACCACGCTCGTACAGTCAATTCATGTACTACTTTACCACCATTTTCGACACCGTCAATCTCCAATGGTGCGGAGGTTATTTCTCCAGCTTTTGTACAGTCCTTTTTTCTCAAAGTGGTTGATACTGGAGACTTCTATAATGTCAGCCCTGTTCCATTCACATCAAATCCTTCATTCGCTGAACCGAATCTCGAAGTTGGCGCCGAAGTCTGTTTCTTATCATTACAGTTCTGGAAATAAATTTGTCGTACATATTCTTTATATGACGATGAACAATCTTCACTGTTATTTGACGAGCAAGAGGTTTCTTCACAATTGTTGTGGGAGTCGGAATCTGTCTTCGCCGCATTGTCTTCCATCTCTTTCGGCAAATTTGGTAAACTCGGCTTATTATCATTACTGTTTCCCGCAAGTTTGTCAAAAATGCTCATGATGAGGCTTATTTTTCGCTCCTGAGGCAGCTTGTTACACGTTCTCACACACTTCTTCTTCCTCTGAATTCTTAGGTATTCATGCCCTTGACATTTTGCTGATGGCTTTTTCGTCAAAGCGATTATGTCACAAGGTAGTTCTTGCGTGTTATTTTTGTCATCTTCGTCTGAAAACAAGACGTCAAGAAAACGCATTGGAAACGTGTCCATGCTTCTGTTCTTTTCAACATTCTCAGCGCTTTTGACTGTAAAAGTTTCCCCCTTTGTCTTCAGACTGTTTACGAACAAGTTGCACATTCGTTCCTCGCGTTTCTAATCTTGAAGAAAGAAGGAAAAAGATATCAATGTCATTTCAATGTTTTGAGTGATAAACTCAAATCGTAAATTCATCTAACATACTCGTTACCACGTGCCTCATCTACTACTTCGTACATCATCGATAGTTGAACGCCACCCAATGGAACAAAGGGACTTTTCCTCTGTACAGAAAGACAAATTGAATCTAAAAAGATTCCAAGCACGGTTTTTCAAAGCAGTCAGGTTTAAGAAAGGTCTTTGAAGTATAAAGCGATATCGGTGATACACCAAAGTTTTTCTATTCTCAAAACATGATATCTTCACCGCGCACACCAAACGTTACTTCAAAATCTCCACGTGTGAGAATGAAAAGGCGCCACGGTAAGTGGGCTAAAATAATAGACGAAAAGTTTTTTCAAAGACCTTCTTAAACCTGACAGTTTCACCTTTCTTGAAAGGCTTATCGCCTATCAACAACACTTAGGTTTAATCTTTTTTTTGAGCGACAAAAGAAATTTTTCCTTGCAAAAAGCATTTGTTTTGATCATTCTTAATATTGGGAGATAAAATAGCATTTCATCGAGCTGAACTTGTGTGCAAGTTATACTCTGCTTTCCCTAATCTTGAACTGTGTTTCAAATTGTATATATTTGAAAGATCATTCGCTCACCTTCGAAGGCAAAATTAATATCCTCGCCAAGTGATATCAACTCTTCACCTTGTCTGTGCATATTTAAACAGTATGAACAATTTTCTTACCTTGAACTCTACCGCGCTTTCTGACAACTTCCTTGGTGATTCTGAATTTCCAAGGGGCCATCTACTCTAACAGCGTGAAAGATTAGACCGAAAACCAAGTCTATTCCGAATCGAATCACTGTTATAACCTTCGAAATAAAGGCGAGATGTATTAGAACAAACTGACGAGCACACGCTGTAAAATAAAAATGTAGTACGAAGTAAGTTTTAAGACATGTCTTGTTCATCGCATCAGATTCACTTATATATAAAATCCAACCTGAGAAACAGAATTAAAGCAATTTGTCACATAAAAAATTATCAACGCTCTCTAAAGTTCTTGCCTATGATTCTGGTGATAAGTGTACCAAAACAGCTCAAAAACATAGAAAGCGTAATGACATTACTTTAATTTCGACTCGTGTGCGTGTGCAAGATAGTCTTAGTGATGTGAAAAATTAATTTCAAGGTCAAGTTTCGTTTACTGTGAAACCCGTGGAGTTTTCAGGTGACAGACGATCATGCATTGTGGTCATGCCACAAGGTAAATAAGAACGCCAAGTATGAATGTAAAGCCAGTTCTTTGTAAAATAATAATAAAAATCAGCTAAGATGGAAATTCTGTGGCAATTATTGTAATTAGAATTTATTGAAATTCGGTGGCAATTATTGCGAAGTAATTGCAGGGACCAGTGAAAGGTGACCAATATTTACGAGAGCTAAAGCCAGCGCCATAAATGTGTACAGTAAGGCAGTGTACGACATGGTCAGCCATTGACATCCAGGACAAAAGTTACAAGTACTTTCAAGAAGAAAACCAGTCTGAACAAGTTAACGAGCCGCCATATGTCCTCCCTCAGTGCGTGTCCCACTCCATAGGAGAAAGGTTAAATTCTAGGAGAGTGATTCGAAGGCTTTTTCCGAAATCTGCAAAGCGCAATTTTGGCATCTTCATGTTCCGCGCAACTCTAATTGAAGAAAAAAGATCTATATGATAAGCTGAATTACGCATGTATTTTGATTGCGTCCGCCCTCTCTTGGACGACAGGCACTTGGATGACGTCACCGTTGAAAACATTTTGATTTTATCTTATAAAAAGACAAAAATATTCATGTTGCCATAGTTCTGTTCAATAATAGATAACACGAGGCGTCAAAATGTGGTAAGACTGATCTGTGAAACACTCGGCTGCCCATTGTGTATCACTTATTTTTTACCACATTTTGACTTCATCTATGATCTATTACAGAGAAGACGCAAAGCAACGTGGAAATGTGTTTTGCAGATCAAGTTTACCTGCTTTTAGAAAAGTTAGTCACCCAGTTAAGCACATGCTCGAGTGGCCGACATTCAGTGAGTGGATTTCTAATAGACTGGAAAATACCAGGAGTTTCACGTCCACAGTTCAAGTCCACACTTTCTCCATACCCCTTTTTAACCTATTAATTGTTCCGCTTTTGTCAGTTTCTTGATCGTCGATTTTGTTCAGGTGAATCAAAGATTATCGCACTACACCTATGGAACTGACAGGCTCCCAAAATAGCTTTGGTGCTAATGGCCTGAGGCTGAAGGCTTAACTGTTTACAACTCTAGAATCAGCCTTTACGGTCCAGCATGGACCGTAAAGGACCACGGCTACTAGTGTCCAAAACCAAAATTAGCCACCAGTGTTCGAAATCTGAAATCAACCACAAGGGTGAAAAATCCAAAATCGGCCATTAATGTCCAAAATCGGTCAAGAGGTTCCAAAATCTCAACATCAGCCACTACTGTCGAAGATCCAAAATCGACTACTAGGGTACAAAACCAAAAATTCATCCTAGGGTGCAAAATGCAAAAGCGGCCACTAGGGTCCAAATCCAGAATTGGCCACTAAGGTCCAAAATCCAAAATCGGCTACTAAGGTTCAAAATCCGAAATTGGCCATTAGGGTCCAAAATCCAATAACGGCCACTAGTGTCCATAAGCAAAAAACGGCCACTAGTGTCCAAATTGAAATTTCGCCAGTAGGGTTCAAAATCCAAAATCGGTCACTAAAGTCAAGAATCTAAAATCAGTTATTAAGGTCCAAAGTCAAAAATCGGCTGCTAGTGTCCTAAGATAGTAATTGGCCATTAGGGTCCAAAATGTCAAATTGGCCATTTATGTCCAACTGCAAAAATCGGCCACTAATGTTCAAAATTGAAATCAGCCATAAGGGTCCAAATTCAGCCACGAGGTACCAAAATCTGAATTTGGTCACTAAATTTTAATATTGAAAATCGGCCACTAGTGTCCAAATGCTAAAATCGGCCACTATAGAGGCCCAAAATTGAAAATCGGCCACCAGTGTCCGAAATCCAAATAGGCCATTAGTGTCCAAAAGCAAATATCAGATACTTTTGTCCAAAATTGAATTTCCACCGGTAGGGTCCAGAATCCGAATTCGGCCATTAGGGTACATAATCAAAACTCGGCCACTAGTGTCCAAAATAGAAAATCGGCCATCAGTGTCCATAATTGAACTCTGCAACTATGATCCAAAACTCAAGTTCGACGACTAGGGTCTAAAATCCAAAATCGGCTACTAGCGTCCAAAATCCAGAATCGGCCACTAGTGTCTAAAATGTTAAATCTGACGCTAGTGTCCAAATTCTACCATTGACCATGCCCCCAAAAATCAGAGTAGACCTATAAATTAGAACTTTTCTCGGTAAATACAATATGCTCAGTTTATAAACGCCAAAAATATTGCCCACAATAAGCTGTTCGGAGCTCGTAAGACGCGTATTTTCGGTAGCCTTTTAATTTTGAGGCAGAATCTTTATCCGAGGTTGTACTCGACCATTTCCACCATTTACACCATTTCAGTGACGCATTGGTTTTGAAGACTGAAAGAATAAAGCAGTCAAAAGACTGCAAAAGACCCTGGAACGATTGAAAACAAGTATCGCAATTAACTGCCGCACTCCGGGCAATCTCCAGACGATCTGCAATTAAAAATAGATGGTCATCAAACACTTCGCCGTAATAGAGAAATGTGCTCGTGATCTGTTAGTCGCTCTTATCAATGCATTTCCTCATTTTTGATAGCAGTGTAGTGAGTCACCGAGCGTGACTAATTTTTTAGAAGAACGGAGAAACATTCCTCCAACATTTTGAAAATAGGATCCATGAAACTGAAAGTTTATCTACTGGAACTACTAAATACTCTCAGAAAAAAATTTTATAAATTCTGGAGGGGCAACTTTGAGTCGGGTCGAATGTCTCAATTGCACGTTATATCTAGTATACATGGTAACACTGAGAACACTTTCCATATCAGTCAGTAACCAACAGTGTACAAAACACTAATTTCATTGTTTTCCAGTCTCCTCGAGCAATACTTTCAATAAAATGAAATCTTATTTTTTTAAAGACTGTGGTCGGCAACCCTAAGGTTTGATAAGTTCCAAGTTGATAACACCACATTGTATTATAATTGGTGTTTTTTTAAAAAGATACCTTTCCTCAGGAAAGAAGTTTTGGACGATGGCGAAAACAGTTCTTCTCATAAGATAAGCCGTGTCACCCATGAAAGCAGATACGAAACCAGTAGTGCTCTCAAAGGAGAAGAGTAAAAAAAAAAAATCTCTTGATCTAGATTCTTTGTAGACGAATATCAACCATTATTTCATAGCCCAAATTCAATGGGAAAAAAACGCTTAGTCACAAATGTTCTTACTTGGTATCTCTACTCACTTAGTTTTCTCCAATAAGATCTGCTCCGAACTGTGAGCGCATTGACAAACATGGCAGAGAGACGAAGACCCAATAAAGGAGCAGCCAGGTAAGTTAATACTCGGGTGGACGAAGCAATGAAGTAAAACCTCATTGACGATCCAATCCCGAGTAGAGCAGCAGTGATAAACAAACACTGAGGAAAAAAAACGCTTCCTTAGATGGTGCTGTGATTCCTTTCAAACTCTTGTATTGATTTACCTGCTTAAAGGGCCCCACGAGGAATCACTCTGGAATATAGCATGGCTTCGAGTTTAGTCGCTGGCTCACCTTTCCTACCAAAGCAATTTCCCAGCCATTTATGTGCACTCAATCAGTTTCCATTCACTAAGGCATTCACTCGCTACATCTGTATGTCCTTCTTTTCCACAAAACAAGATCCTGACCCTTGATCCCCGTCACATATTCATTGGCCTTTCTGCTAATTGGAAAATTCAGAAATATATATAGGTTATTAGACGTTTTGGTGTGTAGTATAGCTGAGTATTTTTACGAGTTGTGCCGTATTTTGACTGACGAGCCCGAAGGGAGAGTCAAAATACAAACAACAGCTTTTTTTTCTGCATGCTATGTGACGTCTTAACTCTGCTCATTTCTCATAAGGCGGAAGAAGCCCTATGAAGTGGATAGAGAAGCATAGCGCGCAGCCGACTGGTTAAACAGGTTTTTTTACCGTACAAAAAAGCCAATTATCCAAATAACCGTACAATATCGCAGGACATTTGTACTCTATTCGCGCGTTATTTGTATTCTTCTTTGTGCAGTTGGATAATAAGGATCCTTAATCTCTCACTACACTTGTGAAAGTTTTCTAATAGGGATTC